CCCCCCCGCAGGCGTACCGTGGGGTTGCCGCGGGGAGTCGAAGATCTGGCGAGCCTTGACGGAGATGATGGCGGAGGGGGCCTTGCCCTTCAGGGCCTCCGCCTGCAGCCAGGCACGGGGCAGGGCAGGGTGGAAGGCGCGGTGACGGGCACAGCCCTGACGCCTGCCGAGTTCCTCGGCCTCGCACCCAGCGCCCATCGCCGGCTGTCCCCGCCATGGGGCAAAGAAAGATACCGAGCCGGTGCAGCGCTGCGGTTGGCGCGGCCCCGGGCGCTGAAGGCGTCATCCCGCTATCACCCCGCTGTGGCTGGCTGGCTGGCTGGCCGGGCGGCCAGCCTGCCTCTCGTCCAGGCCGAGGCCAGCTGCCGAGAGCTCAGCGCCGCACCATGAAGGAGAAGGGCTCTGAGGGCTTGGCCTTGATGGTGGCGTTGATGGCATCCTCCACCACCTTTTGCAGGTTGTGCTCCTCAATGTACTGGGCGGCAGCCTGCGGGCCGGGCAGGGCAGCAGCCAACCAAACGGCGGGGCAGAGGTCAGGCAAGGGGAGCCCGGCGCAGAGGCACGGCAGTCGCGGCAACGGCGGAGAAGCCGCGACGGCTTGCCAAGGGGCGGCGCGCCAGAGGCATGGTTTCCTCTGCCTGAGCGAGAAAGAGGGCTGAGCAGCAGTGAAAGAGCGGGACAGCAGGGCGGCGGCTGGCGGCGGGCGAGGCCGCCGCTCAGGGAGCCGGCTGTGCGCCTGCACCCGGCGATGGAGGTGATGCACCCACAACAGGCTGCCAGCCCTGCTCCAAGGCTGGGCCCCTGGAGGAAGGGCTCCCAGGCAAAGGCGGCAGTGCAGCCGATCCTCGCCAACCGGAGGCCCGATCATACGCCGTGCCGCCATGGACTGAGCCCGGCTGAACGGTTCTGCCCCGCGATGGTGGTTGCAGGGGCGGGGGCGGAAACCCCTCTGGAAGACCTGCCGCCAGGGCTCTGCCCCACGGCGGCGGCAGGCCCCGGCGGCACAAGGTCATATGCAATTGCGATCTAGCAGCCCTTCGCAGTCGGCAGGCAGCGGGAATGAGCAGGGTCGGGGCGATGGCGAGCCCTTGCACCCACCATCGTTCTGACTCTGACTGTCTTGCGCGGCTTCCAAGCAGGAGGGTGTGGGGGTGGACGTGACCGGCAGGAATTGATCATACAGCGAGGCCAGGGGGGCCAGGGCAGGTCGACTGCCCACCAGGGTCGGCCAAGCTGTCACTCCCTGGTCCACCCGGGCGCTCATGAGCCCTGTTGCACGCATCTGCGGCCATCGAGACTCCATAATTCAGCCTGGCATCATCATCGCTTGCCCGGCCCCAGTCATGGCCCCAGACATGCCTGACATGCCTGTGGGTTGCACGGCCCAACAGGGACTGCTTGCAGGGCGGCGTGTATCACCACCATGGTCATGGCCCCTCCATTCGAAACCCAATGTTACATGCGACTCTCAAACGCAGGCTGCACATGCTCAATGGGTTGGGTCACCGTGGTCGACAATTGAGTGCGGGACGCATCAAGGAATTGGACAAGGGATGAGCGGCGGCGGCAGAAGTTATCAGGCCAAAGATGCAAGGGATTGAAGTGGACCAGGAGGGGAGGCATGTATAGGGAAGAAGGGTGTGCATCGGGTGTCAACTTGGGTCGAACACTTGGGTGGGAATGGAAAAGCGAATTGATCAGCTCATACGGCGACAGGCGTGGCGCGCCAGCATCGACTCTGGCGGCTGGGAGGTACAGAAGCGGACAAGGTGCGCGGCGCCACGCGCGGCCCCGCCCTCGGCGGCCACCCCTACAGCTCGACGTGGCCGCCGCCGGTGCCGTTGAGGGCGGCGCCGCCGGGACCGGGGCCGCCGCCGGCCCAGTCTGAGGCTGCGGCCATCCACAGGTCCACCACCTGCCAGGCCAGCAGCAGCAGCGCCGCCAGCTCCAGCGCCAGCGTGCCCGCAGGCCGCTCCTTGCGCTCCAGCCGCCACTCCGCCTCCACCTCCTCTGTGCGGCGCAGGTAGGCCAGGCGCGCGGCGCGTTCCAGCCACCACGCCAGCTGCAGCACCGCCAGGTAGCCCACCGCGATCTGCAGCGCGCCAAACACCGCCATGCAGGAGCGCAGCTCGGCTGAGCCCGGGCCGCCGCCCGCCGCGCCCGCCGCCGCTGCGCTGCCCAGCCACGAGCGAGGCGAGGCTGCACACGCAGTGGAGCACGCTCGGCGCATCTTCAGTGGGGGGTTAGCAAGGCACGGCGCAGTACACCATGCAGTACACCATGCAGTACACCATGCTGTACATCGTGCAGTACGCCGTGCAGTACACCGACACGCCATCAGGGCAAATCCGCCACGCCTGGGTTGCTCGGCGTGGGCACAGGCGGGGCCTGCCCTCACCTGAGAAGACCGACAGCCGCTGCAGGCCGCCCGCCACTCGCGTCAGCAGCGGGCTGGCCGCCGGGCACTGCGTCAGCGCCGACACGCAGCGCTGGCGGTTGCTGGACAGCAGCAGCAGCACCGCCATCTGCAAATGGCGGCGGCAGGTGGTGGCGGGCGGCAGCAAGGGCAAATTGAGGGAAGCCTCGCAACACAGCGTGCAGCTATGCCAGGGGCCATGCGGGCAGGCAGGAGGGCAGGCCAAGCGGGGCATACGCTGCAGGCAGGCGGTCGGGCCATGCGGGACACACTGCAGGCAGGCAGGCGGACAGGCAGGCGGGCGGTCCACGCACCCCATGCACCAGGAGGCCTTGGTTGACGGTGAGCGGGAAGAGCACCGCGTGCACCACCAGCCAGGGCACGCCCGAGGCCAGCAGCTGCGAGACCCAAAAGGCGGGGCCGCTGGGGCTGCCGCAGCTCACCACAGCCATGCTGCTGCTCAGCAGCGGTGACGACTGCACCTGCACAGGCGGCCGGCCGCGCAGGCAGGCAGGGGATGAGCAGCCGCGCGGCGCCGGGCGAGAGGTCGTGGCGCCGGCACCAGGCCCTGGCAGCTGGGCGGGAGTGCGGCCTTGCACGCAAGCGGCACGCGGGTCGTGGGCAGCGTGGCAGTGGAGGGCAGCAGGCCTCGAGGCAGCGGCAGGCTCACTGCCGGGAAGGTGACGCTGAAAGTGTAGAGCAGCGGGCGGAGCTTGCTAAAGAGGAGCGGCGACAGCACCGCCAGCAGCCACACGAGCAGCTGTTGAGCCATGGTGGCAGCAGCAGCCGCCGCCTACAGCAAGGGGCGAGGCAGCGGCGGCAGGCCAGCACCTATCAGCAGCAGCAGCAGGGTGGGGGAAACAGCAACGTGTGGCGGGGAAGACGCCACCATGCTACGAGTTTTGGTTAGGCTAGGCGGCAGGGCCAGTGCAGGCGGGCGGGCGGGGTGCCGCAGGCCAGCAGCAGCAGCGGCCCGGCGCCTGGCCCCCAGAACTCACCAGGGCCGACTGCCCCTGCGAGTAGAGCTTGAAAGCCAGCAGAGCGTGCACGAGGGCGACACCTGCAGCCGGCCAGGGTTGCGCTTGTTGGGGCTTCAGCTGCGTGTAGGTGCATCACATCAATAGCAAGGTTCCAGCCACGCTAGTCCGGGCCCCCAAGGCGAGCGAGCGTCATCAGCCCCGGCTTGCTAGACCTGCGCTGAGGACGGCAGCTGTGGCCTGGTGGGCGGCGCTGCGGGCTGCCAGGAACGCCTGCTCAAGATCCTCCACGTCCCCGCTCGACGACTCGAAGCGCAGGCCCCACTGGCCCTCGTGCCGCACTGGTGCCTCGGCGGGCAGCCCTCCGGAGCTGGGTTCTGCCATGACTGCGAACACTTGGCTGAAAGACAGCAGCGGGCTGGAGATTGGGTGATCTGTGCAAAGTGGCCTGCTGTGCCATGCTGTGCGGAGTTCTGTTGGGGAGCCCCCTGATCTCAGGAGCCCTGGCTGCTCATTTGGCAATGCCAACATCAAGAACACACTCTAATGGGAATTGGGTAGCGAGCAGAAAGGCGCCAGCTGGGCTCTGCAAGTCCGGGACGCTGCGTCGGCACCCACCTCCCCACCTCGTTTCCGCTCGCACCACGTTCGGAGCTTGAGCAGTGTTTAAAGGCCTCGCCCACACAAAGAGAGCACACAAACACAAGGAGAGAGAAGCACGCATATATACATGACAATCAGTTTGGCATCTAGCAGTTTGATCAGAGGCTTTGCTCGCCATGCAATGGCATGTGTGGCGGGAGGGGTGTGGGGCGAGCGACAGTACACGATAGGACGCGATAGGGGAAGAGCATTCCAAAAAATCGAAACCAATGAGCCAATGGGCTTGGTTTGGGGAGGATGTGTGTTCCTGTCTTGCTTGCTGGGCGCGCTGGATCCGCCTGATAGTGGAGTGCCCTGAAATGGGGGCGACAAATGAATGGGACTGGAGAACAGCGGGCAGGCGCAGCAGCATCAGCTGCCGATGCTGCAGCAGCTGCTGCTGCGGCCGGCAGCAGCGAGGCCGGTGGCCGCCGACGCCCAGCTCGCGCTGGCCGGCTGCAGCCAGCAGTCTTCTGGCCAGCAGCAAGGGCTGCCAGGGGCGGTGCCCGCCCACGCTTCCACCTGCTGCTGCGGCGCAGGCGCAGGCTCGCGCTGCGCGCCGCTGCCTGCTGCCGCCGCTGCTGAGAGCGGCATGGAGTGTGGAGGCGCTCCGCAGGCTGCCGCTGCCGCTTCTGCTGTCGCTGGCGGCAATGCTACCGCCGCGGCTGCGGGTGGAGCCACCGCAGGGCTGCTGCCGCAGCAGCCGCCCGCGTGCCGCTCGCCGCCCGCTGCCGCTGCCTGCGCCGGGTGCAGCAGGGCGGCCAGCGCATGCCAGCCTCGGCCAGCCGCCACTTCTGCCAGCTGGCATGCCATGCGGGCGATGCGCTGGCGCGTGGCTGGCGGGTAGGGCGCCACACGGTGCCCCGCGGCTGCCAGCTGGCGGCGGGACAGGTACTGTACCACCAGGCCCACGCGCCGCAGGAAGGCAGGCGCGTCGCAGATGCCTGCAGCGCGCAGCGGGCGGCACCGGGGCGGGAAGCGGGGTGACGGGCGCGGCGCGGTGGGTGGAGCACACATCGAGGGGCCGCAAGGCAGCCTAGAGAGGCAGGCTGCGGGCTGGCTACCGGGCAAGCCAATCCTGGCGAGCCGCCGGTCCCCCCGCCCTCACCACCCCACACCCAAACACGCCCACCTGCGCTGTCGGCGGCCAGCTGGCGGACCTCGGCCACGGCGGCGGCGCACGGCAGCGCCAGCAGCGGCAGCGGCTCGGACAGCACGCAGCCGCGCTGCACCTCCACCTCCACCCAGCCTGCAGGCACAGGCAGGCGAGGAGGGCGAGGCGTCGGCGGGCGCGGCGCAGGGAGGGTGGCCACCGGAGCGTGACAGGCGACCTGCTGGGCGGGAGGGATGGCGCCGGGCGAGCAGGCCAGGGCAGGACGCACACCTGGCAGCACTCCTAGGGGCTTGATGCAGAGCTGCTCCGGCGGCTGGCGCCCGTTCGGTGGCCCCCGGCCCGCGGCGCAGCCCTGCCGCCGGCCGCTGCTGCAGCCGCCACGCCCCTCCTCCTCTCGCCCGGCCGGCGCGGCGGCGAGGCGCGCGCGCTTGGCTGGCGGCGGCTGCAGGGGGCCAGGGTCCTCCCTGCCGCCGCCGCCGCCGCCGCCGCCGCTAGTGCCCTCGCAGCTGCAGCAGCAGGCGCAGCAGGCGCAGCAGGCGCGGGGCCGGCCGCTGCACCCTGCGCCGTGGAACTCCGCAGCCAGGTGCCGCCCCTGCTGGCGGCACAGCACCAGGTCACGGCTGCCGGTGATGCTGGTGCCGCTCAGGGTGACCACGCCTGCGCAGGGGCGGCACAGCAAGGGGCGGCAGCGGGAGCAGGCACGGTGGGTGGGAGCAGGCAGGAGAGGCGTGGCGGTGCTGCACGTGTGCGTGTGCTGGCAAGGGCAGCAGGTGGCGGAAGTGGGAGGCACTCCGGGGGTGCATGCAGCTATGCGGGGCAGCTAGCAGCAGGCGCGGTGCGCGCACCTGGCTGCCCCGCCAGCACGCAGAAAGGGTGCAGGCTGGCCAGGCGCGGCAGCCCGGCGGCCGCCAGGCCCGCGGGAGGGCGCCGCAGGTCGATGGCCGCCGCCACTTGGCCGCCACGCAGCGTCGTGAGCTGGCCGCCAAACTGCGGGCGAGGAAAGAAGGCGGGGCGGGGGCGGGGGTTGCTCGCGCCGGCATGGCGTGCGCGGCGCTCGGTAGCGGGAGCGCGGGCCGCGGGCTTGCGGGCTTTGCCGACGGAAGGGCTTGACAACTGCAGCACTGCAACAAGCAGAGCCCAGCAGGCAGGCCATGGCAAGCTTTCCGAGTCCCTCCACACCAAGGTCCGCTCCTCACCTGCACCACCATGTCATGGCGGGCCAGCGGGCCCAGCGCGCCGCCCGCCAGCCAGCGGCGCAGCGGCAGGCCGCGCGCCAGCAGCCCTTCCGCCTCGCCCCACGCCAGCAGCAGGCTGAGGGTGAGGTGGGTGCAGCCTGCGGGCGGGAGGGGAGTCAGGGGGCAGCGAGGGGGCGGCAGGGCGCGAGTCAGATGGCGGCGAGGGGGCAGCAGGCGGGGCTGCTGCCTGCTGCTGCTGCTGCCGCTGCTGCTGCTGCTGCCCGCTTCCTCTCCCGCCGCACCCAAGCAGGCCACGCGCTGCCGGCCAGCGCCGGCCCACCCACCTCCCCACCCTCCCACACAGCCACGCCGGCGCCGCCGCCAGCTCAGCCGCTGCCTGCTGCCACCTCACCGCCCGTCGCACCCACCTGGGCGGATGTAGCCCTCTAGCATGGCTGGGGAGGCCTGGGTGAGCCGCTCCAGCTCAGCCCTCACCAGAGGCAGCAGCTGGTCGGGGGCACAGTTGAACACCTGCGGGGGGTGGGGCGGGGAGGCAGGGGAGGTGTGTGTGTGTGTGTAGGGGTGCGCCAGATGTGCCGGCTGTAGGCAGGTGTGGGCGCTGCCGACGGTCGACCTCTGTGTACTGCTGTACTGCTGTACTGCACTGTTCCTTACGGAATTGCACTGTACCGCGCTGCGCTACAGTTCGCACTTGCCTTGAGGGACATGCGGACTAGCAGGTCCTCTGCCGGCACAGCCGCCGCGCCGCCTGCGCCCGCCGCCGCCAGCGGGGCGACGGCGGGCACGGCGGCGGCGGCGCCCGCCTCGGCGCCGCCGACCGCAGAGCCCTGAGCCTCGAGCATGGGCCCGCCGCCCGCCGCCATGCCCGCCAGGCTGCCGCGCGCCGCCAGCTGCGCGCCTGCAGCCGCCGCCGCCGCCGCCGCCGTCGCCTGCGAGTGCGCATGCGCGATCCCCAGCTGCTCTTGCAGGGAGGCTGTGCGCTGCACCAGCGGGGCCAGGCCGGCGGGTGGGGCGCCGGCGCCGGCGCCGCTGCCGCCGCGTGGCATCGTCAGCGTGCCCTGCTGCAGCTGCCCGGCAGCTTCCGGGGCTGCGCCGGAGGTGGGGGTGGAGCCCAGGAAGGGGCTGGGAAGCTCCAGGTAGAAAGGACTGTTAGAGGCGGGCAGCTGCAGGTCCGGCATGCCCGGCAGGCTCCCCACCGGAGAGGTGGCCTGCTGCTCCTGCCCCTGCCCCTGCCGCCACTGCTGCTGCTGCTGCGCCTGCTGCGCCTGCTGCGCCTGCCCCTGCTGCTGCGCCGCCTGCCGCTGCTGCGCCTGCCCCTGCTGCTGCGCCGCCTGCCGCTGCTGCGCCTGCTGCTGCGCCGCGGCCAGCAGCTGCGGCGCCACGATGGGGACCGAGAGCAGCGGGGCGGCGGCGCCGGCTGCCGCGCCCAGCGGGCCGGGCAGCATGAGAGCGGGCAGCTCCGGAAGCGCCGCCGCCGCCGCCGCCGCCGCCGCAGCGTCGCCCTCGCGGAGGCTCTGCTGCAGGCCGGCCGCGCTGGCGGCGGCCGCGGCGGCGGCCGCCGCCGCCCCCGAGGCCGCCGCCGCCACCGCCGCCACCGCGGCGTCGCTGCCGCTGCGCGCCGCGCGGCCCCTGCTGCCCGCCGTTCCGCCCGCGCTGCCCGCGGCGACGCCGGCAGAGGCGCTGCGAGCGGGGTGCGGCCGCCGTCGCCTCCCCGCGCCCGACCCGCCCAGCAGTGCTTCCTCCTCCCGCTCCTCAGTCGCCTCGCTTTCCTCCTGCAGCACCCCCGGGGCGCAGCGGCAGCGGCAGCCGTGGGACAAAGCGAGACGCACCCCAGGTGCGGCACAGCACGGCAGGCACAGGCGCCACACGCAGGCCGGCAGCGCGGCGGCACCGGCTGCGCGCCGCCCGCCCGGGCGGTTAGGCCGAGCCTCTGCCTCTGCCTCTGCCTCTGCCGGCAGCTGTGCAGGCGGGGCAGCGGCGGGAGGTAAGCAGGCATGCGGGGGCCCCTCACCTGCTGAGCCTCCTCCTCCTCCTCCTCGCTCTCCCGCACATATTCGACGCGCCGCCGCTCGTTGTGCCGCTTCAGCTTTCGCCGGCAGCTCTTGCGGCTGCCCTCAAACTCCCCTGCACCAACACACACACGGCAGGGAGGGTGTGGCAGCGTGCCACCGCACAGCCGTGGCGGTGCAGCGCCACAGGCGAGCAGGAGGATGAGCAGCCCCGGCGGCGGCAGCATCAAGAGCGCGGCGGCGGCGGCGGCGGCGGCGGCGGCGGCGGCGGCGGGACGCGAGCCGGCGGCCGCCCGGCAGCTGCGGCGGTACGCACCGATGTCCTGGAACCTGCCGCACTGCTGGCAGAAGCGCTGCTCCCGCCCATCCATCTGCATGCTGGCCATGCTGCGGCAGGCAGGGAGGGGGGCGGGCAGGCGGGCAGCGGTTGCGTCGAGCGCACGCCAGCCAACCGGCTGTGCTGCACATGCACACGCCCTGGCTGTGCGGCCTGCTGCTGCAGCGGCAGCCTCCGCCCCAGGGCCCCATTCCCCGCCCCGCCCGCGCACCTGCAGTGCAGCTGGCAGATGCGGTACCGTCTGTAGTACCCCTTGGCGGTCACCAGCTCCGCGCCGCAGCCGGGCACCTGGGGGGAAGCCGGGGAGGGGGAGGGGTACTGCACGGAATCAGCGCAAGGCTGCGGTACACAGCACAGGGGCCGCCGCCGTCTCCTGCTGCCCCACAGCGCAGTGCTGCTATGGTGGATGCTGGCGCGATGGTGCAGGGCCGGCGGCGCCGGGGGCCAGCGGGCGGGGATGGCACCCATGCCCCAACCGCCGCCCGCAACAGCCCCGCAACAGCCGCACAGAGGCAGTACTGGCGGCGGGCCCTGCCCTCTGCGCCGGCCTGCCGGGACATGCATGCGGCAGGCAGCGGGGCGGGCAGGCGCTGGCTGGGGTGGGGGCAGCACCCACCTGGCAGAGCACGCTGGTGCGGCGCTGCCGACCAGGCTTCTTCTTGGGGGGGATGACCTGTGCGG